ACGTCTAAAGACGCCCGCTCAGATCTAGAGAGCTCCTGGCCGGCCGTTTTTGTGACAAAGGCCGGCCGGGAGGTAGTTAAAGGACTGCATTGGGCATAGAGCGAGCGATGTTAAGACAACATTGAGGGTACGAGAATAAAGAGGATCCCATTTACTCACTGTTCTGCAGCATGTATTATCCTGGAAACGATTGTCTGCCTGTTTGTTTTAATTTGTGTTAGTGTGTTTCTCTTAATTTGCTTTTGATTACTGCATTTCAATATTAATATGAAGTCAATAGAGTTTATGGTATGGGGTATGGCATTAGTTAGACTTATTTTTAATAGTGACTCTCAAGCAACCAGAAACTCAATTTTTCCGGAACCTACCAATCCCTGTGGATGCCGGATAATGTGGAGTTTACTGTACTTTTATTCCAACAATAACTGCAGATTTGCTGGTTGGTTATCTCTTATTTAATGGCTGCAGCTGCTTCTGTTGCCAAGAAAGAGGGAATTGCCAACTTCCAACTGTTGCACACCATGCAGCAGGATGGCATTTATTCCATACTCTTATCTGAACCCCTGGATGCTCTCAAGGTTTTACAAGACAGAATGGGGCTTGGATGGTGTTTGCTGCAACAGAATAACCCTAATCCAATTGGCCAAATCTCTTATAGCTACATGCCTGTCCTCAGATTTCCTCACAAGAGCACAGGAACGTTGTTGCACTTAGAGTGCTGATCCTTTAGTTGAACTTGTTTCTGAAACCCAAAAATTACATATTACTTACAGGGAATATGTCTGACACTGTCCCCAGCACACCCAGCTGGGCGTGTTCTCATCTTTCTTTCCAGCACTTGAAGCTGCTCCTAGCTTAGCTCTCTCTAGGAGCTAAGCTGAAGAGGGATCTGCACTGGGATGCAAAAGCTTGATTTTTTTTTTAAAGCAACCAAAAGTAACAGGAAAGAAAAATGGAGGAAGGTGCACACTAAAGTTATCTCAAACACAGAAAGCACTCAAGGTCTGAATTAAAACAAAAGGGACTACATTTGCTGAGGCAGCCAGAGGCCTGCAAAATGCCAGCTGCTGTCAGTTGTCAGGTCTCATGCACATCTTCTTAACACGTACAGTGCTTTAGCAATTGTCAGGTTTCAGATGACCTTTGACCCTCCTCACACTCCAGCTAAAGTGTCAGGCTTGAACAATCTAAAGTTTAATACGGGGAAGATATAAATAGTTCCTAGGACTTACCACTAAGACATAATATTCAGATTCTTGCATCAGCTCAACTGTGACTTGTTCTCTTTAGAACAAACATGTTAGTAAAGGGATATAGAGACTAGACTCCTTTCAAAAATGCAAGCAACCTGGCTGTTATATGCACCCTAATGGCTTCAATTTTTAATTCCTGTAAAACATGCATGCAGTTTAAGAAAGTCAAAAGGAAGGAGTAATACATTAAATGAACAACAATTGCACAAGATTACTTTAAGTATATTGACTTTATTAATTGATTTGTTACAAAAAAAAAAAAATTAGAAAAAAAAAGGTCCAACATTGTAGTTGTATTATTAGAAACTGAGGACATTTTAAAAGGACAAGATGATAAAAATAGATCTGTCTGTGAGGCCTCCTTTAAAAAGTGATCTTAAAAGGAGAACTATGGGGTCAGTGTTTTTCCCCATAGTTCTCCTTAGGGTAACGGGAGGACACAAACTAGCGTCCTCCCGTTACCCTAAGCTCAGTATACCACGAGCTATAGCTCGCGGTATACTGTGACGCCACAGCCGGAGCGGATCCCGACGTAGATGCCGAGATCCGCCCAGCTCCGTGAGTGACAGCTGGCTCTGCCTATCTAGAGGCAGAGCCAGCTGTACCCGCCCCCTCCCCCGTCCGTTCCGCCAGTCAGCGCTGGCAGATCGGAGCGGGGAGAGGGGAATCCAGCCCCTCCCCCTGTCACGGCAGAGAGCCGTGACAGGATCGAGAGGTGAGGGAACCCGGTATGTGTTCGCTCACCTCCCGATCTACTGAGCCGACCTGTGACAGTCTCATTGTCACAGGTCGGCTAGAACTATGAGGTGAGTGGAAATCACTCATCTCATAGTTCTCCTTTAACATAGGGCAGATTCAAAAAGAGTCATTTCATTGTGATTGAAGAAAGCCTAGAGACACACTAGAGGGTATTTTTATAACTGGAGCACAGAATCTGGAGCAGTTGCCCATAGTAACCAATCAGCTTTTCTCTTCAGTATGTTCAGTTAAGCTTTGAAAAGCAAACATAGAAGCTGATTGGTTGCCATGCACAGCTGCTGTAGTCTGTCTGCTCCAGTTTTGATGAATTCCCCTCACTGTTCTGGACTTGTTATTGTGCAACCCAAAAATCGTGGGCACCGCACACCACAGTTGACTGTACACGATCATGAACAGGAACAGATAGTGTGCTGAACGCCAATTTACGATTCTTGCTGCTCAGTTCAAAAATCATAGTAGTACATCTTGCATTTAAAGTGACCTTTGACACAAATGGGCGGTCTGATTTACATGATCTGACCCCCATCTCCCAACCTGTGTCTGCTGGTGTGTCCCTAACCAGGAATGTTTGGCCCAATCGAGTCATTTGCGATTAGCCTATAAACACCTATGCTGTAGACCTTAGCATATCTCAGAGAAAATAGAATTTGGGAAATTTCCAAACTATTCATTTACTCTTTACCATAATAAACCTGAGCAGATGATGACCTTGTAAACAGGAGACCTATTCCAGAAATAGAAAACAGTTGCTAAGCTCTTAGCATGGCACGGCAGCTCAGAACTGTCAAGACTGGCTTTCTTGCAAAGGGTTTCATAGGTTGATTCTTTTCTATGGACAACGTAGCAACTTGCATACAGCTATTTGAGGTTGGAAAAAATTCAATTAATCAGCATATACATTAAAGTATAGAATAAGTAATATGTTTCAATTCATGACTAAATGACGATAAAGTAGGATCATTTGCAATAAAAATACTTCATATGTTCAAAGTAAAAGCACACTGCCTTGGGAATGAACAGTGTTGTGTTTACTGCATAGTAAGATTCATTATGAAAAGCTCCACTTTATATATATATATATATGTATATATGTTTAAATACATATAAGATTATATGTCTCATGTTAGGCTGAGATAAGGTTTAAGGCACAAAACAAACATCAAGCAATAATGTGAATGACACATGATCTGCAAGAAACTGGTCGCAGAGCACCAGAGGGAAATTCAAGTAGTTCTAGATGCTGCTCCGCATCAGTTACATTCCATGCTTCCCTTTTAAAATATTACTCTTGCTGAGAGCAGAGATGATCTGTTGTCTACTCACATGGACAAAAGGCACTAGTTCTGCATTGGCTGTGCAAGTGAAGTCCAGAACGCAGACGGCATGCTTCTCAAATATAAGCATCCTTTGCAAAATCGTTTAAAGAAGAACTCTGATCTAGTCTAAAAAGGATGTTTTGCAGCTGTTGAAATCATTGAAAAGTGATCATTGAAAATTGTATGCACTATCCTTTCAGTAGGAGAGCAGAATGTGTCAATTAGCAGCTCTCCAACACTAGGCAACCTGACAAACTATTCCTCTCTAGCCACCTACTCCACCAGTTACCAACTGACATAGCGAAGGGGAGGTTTCCAGTCATTGCATTGCTTTTGCTAAACCACTCCTCGGCTCACACCTATTTGGCTATGGGCATGTGGGCAAGGAGCTGTGGCCACACACAGGATAACAAATTTTCACAAAATTGTGCATATGTAGCTGGTAGTTAGAGGCATGTGCGAAATGTTAAGATTTGTACCCCCAATAAAAAAGGTTGTAGACAGTGGAGTAGAAGCTTGGAATTCCAGTGGTCACAACTATGACCAAGTTCAGGAAGGGCAAAAGGCTTACAATTCCCTGCCATTCTACCACTGACTGGTGCCCTTGTCACCTATACGCACCAATTTGTGCTCTGTGCATCTATGTGGTAAATGAGTGAGGCTCCTAAGGAACAGAACGTTTCAGTAAATAGGCAGGTATTATGCGAGGGAGCGATGTCCAGGATAGCTTGGCAGAAACCAACAGCAGACCCTACATCTGGGACCAAGAAGCTATAGGCAATGTTTTTCGACAATTATAAAAGCTGAATTTCAGCCATAACAGCCAACTACACTGTGGAGATACAAACATGTGGACTGTAAAACCTGACAAGATTCAATTGAGTTCAGCCGTGCCTGGTCTAGGATGCATCTCTGCCACACTGAAAAACCAGGTGGGTGACCTCACTTTTCCCTGTTTCATCATAATTAAGCAGTAAAACGTGATTACCTCAAGGGGGCACAGCACTGTACAAAAGAGCCCTGAATGGCTTACAATGGCCCTCCCTCTCATACAAGCCCTGGAGTGCAGAGTATTTCAGGTGAGAGGTATTTCAGGAGAGATTTCAGGTTCTAGGAGTATTTCAAAATGCATTTATAGGTTTGAATAGATAGCTGGATTAAAAAGGGGATCTTCTATACTTGCCTAGAGTTCAGCTTTAACTAACCATTTTAGATGGTAATATAAATCCTTTATTGATGTATTCTTTTTTACTACATTTCAAAACAATATTATTAGATTTCGTGAGCTGTATACTTGAAGAAAAAGTATAAGAGGGAGATGAATCTCTTCCTGCAACGTTAGCATACCCTGATCTGCCCCTCCCTTTGGCTTGTCATAGGTTTGCTCTGAAAGGCTTTGTATACAACAACAGGAAACATTATGGGTTTGAAAAAGACTAACCAATGCATGTGTCCTGATAATACTATAAGGAATAATCCTCCAGCCCCCACACTATAGAGACAGGATTTTTTTTTTTTAAGTGCTTACTTCAAACACTGTTTGTAGAGGCTTCCATAGAACATGAACCAGTCTACAGCTTTTGTCATTCTGTTCCTAGACACATCTGAGAAGAACGCCAAGATATGCAGTGTTGTAAAATGAGCAATATTCCTCTGCAGCTGAAGGCAGAGTGTGGATCTTACTGAAAAGGCAAAATCATTTTGTCGTTTTGACCTGCTGTGAACTGTCTGCTTGCAGAACAAAGCAAGGCAAGTACCACAAAAGCAACAATGTAGTATGCTTTTAAGAAAATAAGGTGAGGTAATAAATAGCCTATGCAAGGCAAGATTAATGCAGCTTTCATGCAGATAAATGTTTGCAGTGAAGGTTAGTGCATGTAACAGCCTCAGTGAATAGAACAATGTCAAGTAGGATGTATGACCAAATCTCCTCTGACTAGCACATCGTATGCTGCTCCCATCTTCTGATGCACACAGGAACGATATGCTTATTTCCTTGCCAAGGTGTCAGAGAGCTTCTTAAGCCTTTTCTTCAGCTCCAGAGGGAACTTCTCGTAGCATTTCTTGCAGACAGGTTTCATGTCAAACTCCACAAACTTGTTCCTGGGAAAGTACAACATTGTTTAAGTACAGCAAACAAAGGCTTGCAAGACACTGTGGCACATTTAAGTTGTATTTATTTTTTAAACATTATGGAAAGAAAAGGTGGAGATGATTCTCATCAGGGTCTAACAGTTATACTATGAGCACAAGTAAAACAATCAATGATTGTGTGCAAGAGCCAAGGTTTGCTTTCCAGTTATCTTGATTTTCCAGGTTCCATACCGTTACCACCCATATTGGTACCTTGTCAAATTACTTGGTTTAACGGTTATTGTTGTGATACATTTAGTTTGTTTTTTGTACATGTGGACTACTTTATATCGAATATTGCACTGCAAACCGCTCCCAAAAATGCCAATAAAATAGTTAAAGCAGAACCATGCCAGGCCAGTTTGTTAGCAGCACAGTGGCTGGCTGAAAATAGTAATATTATACTACTGCAAATTGAATTATGACATGCGTTGTAAACTCTTGTGAGCCGCCACACTCCATAAAATCTCTCATTTCCAGCCCACTTATTGATTAGTAAGTATTGTGACACCTCACACACAGGCAGGTCCACTAACCCATGTGAGAAGGGGAAGAGAACACTGTTCAGAGACACGATCCTTTTTTCTTTTTGTCTTTTGCCTCTTTTGATAACTTGGAAAGGCGGCGTTTTAGCTCTTCCGGCATTTTCTCATAGCAGTGCTTGCAAGTGGGCTTTAAGTCTATCTCTACAAATTTATGCCTTTGCAATTATTCCAAAGAGAGAAGAGAACGTTTGATAGACAAAGTAAGGGAAAGATCAGAAAATATTTAGCTCACAATAGTCAAATGCAGAACAGAAAATGTCAAGTTTATTATAGAAGATTACACTTAAAGAACTCCAGGAATAAAAAAACAAAAACAAAACACCCATAAACACTTACCCTTGCAGTGTGGCTACCCCCGCACTACAAGGGTTAAGTTCTCATTTTGTCTATGGGACTCAGATAAATCAGATATGTTTACCCGATTCTCTGTCCCACCATCTGCTGGACCAGTCTCTGCTGCCTCTTCTCCCCTTCACTTCGGCAGTCAAAGGACCACTGACGTCATCACATCTAATGCAGGTCCTTTGACTTGAATTACATGTGAGCACACCAAGGTACACAGCCAGAGGGGAAAGGAGTGAGGAGTGCCGACCACCGCGGGACCAGGAATCAGGTGAGTATATTTGCTTTATTTGAGCCCCATAGACAAAACAAGCAGGTAACCCTTGCAGTGCGGAGGCACCCCACTGCAAGGGTAAGTTTTATAAATTCCTGGAGGTCTAGTCAGTGCCTATAAATCAGTGTTGTCCAAATTTTATCTTTAAATATGGATGTCATAAACTATCATGGAATGATGTACAAGAGACGCAGAAGAATTCATAGGTCTTTTATACAAGCATTTAAAAAAAAAAATATGACGACTCCTTTGAGGGATGAGGCCAATGTTATAATTTCAGTTAATACTTACTTGAGTGTTAACTTGGTGTTGCAAGTAGAACATGCAAAGCAGTTGACACACCATGCCTTGTTCAGAGCAGAGACAACTACAGCAAAAAAAAAAAAAAGTGCATAGTTCTTACTGTCATCGTTCTTACAAACAAAAAGAAAAAAAAGCTCCACAAACAGTTTAATAACATTTTACCATTTTGTTTATGGTCTTAGTTTTAAAAGGAATTAATGGTTTACTGTATTGACAATTTCAGTCACTTTAAGTTGTCAACAACCTACACAACAGCACACAATACTTGCAAATATTTTTCTCCCATAGATTTATGGTCCTTCATTTTTGTTGTTGCAAAGGGGTATATAAAACCCCCAGGCAACTCAATGCACCACAATAGTGATTATAATCTCATAAACCACGCTAATATGGTGACCTATCCTAGCTGAGTGACTGTCTCTTAGCTACTGTGCATCCTTGGTAAATGATTCCACTGTGAAAATCAATAATAAAAAGCACTGCGCTTATAGTAAGCCATGCTATAACCTTCTATATATGTGAAACAGTATTGAAGCGTGTGTGACTTCTACCATTGGAATTAATATGGACACCAATATCAATACTACATATCCTAATGTGCCAATACTGTATCTGTGCAACCGCAAACATTTGGAGTCAGGATTTTTACATTAATGCACAGTACCCATTTGTAAAGGGAATGAAAATGACTTGAGCTGAAATAGTAGTTTTACTTCATTGAGGCCCAGTTTACAATTAGATACCATTACAGAGACTATGATAATCTAGAACACCCAAGAGAAAGGTCAAAACTTACCATCTCCTTCAATAACACGGTTGCAGTGGAAACAGACGTCTCCAAAAAGCTAGGGGGAAGACAAAAGTTACAATGAATAAAAAAAAGTGGAGCCACAAAGTTCCTTCTGGTATTACTAACAAGAAAATAATTTCTATGATATATGCTTTTAACAGTCGGAACTCCTGTACATATTTACAGCAGAGCCTGGAAGCAACCCAAATCCCAATTATAGGGAAAGTATTGGGAGAGTAAATTGTACTCTCCAAATACTTAGAGCCAGCGTATGATACTGCAGGTGTCACATGCCAGCTCTATAGATAGAGAGCGGAGCATTCACGAACAACTGATTGCTTAGCTTTTGGTCTTCCCCCTGCAGAGAGCGCGGTCATCACGCCCCCGCAGGGATCCCCCCCTCCCCTCTCTGTTCCTGCAGCTCTCATTGGAGGGACAGACTGGAGAGGGAGCAATCCGTTTTAGATCTACTTTGATCTAAAACGGTCTTATGTATAGCCCCCATGAATGGATATGAAGAGCCCATACTGAGGGACATTACATCTATGTTTTAGGAAAGGAATAGAAGGCAGTTTTGGAGCTTACTTAACAAAATCACAGAGTAATGGCATGTAGTAACTCATATCAAACCATGCTAGTTTAAGGTTTTATGTAAGAACATAATGAAAGGTGATCTCATATTGGATGCTATGAATTTATGGCACATCAAAGTTTGAGCTTTCTCCTGGCAAATAGTAGCCAATTTCTTATTTAAAAAGATACAGAGCCACCTTTTTTAAATGTGAATAACAAATGCATATCCATTTATATTGTGCGGTTTTCACAGTCACTAACCTGATTGTAGTGAGTCTCGCAGTAAGCCAGCCCCTTTCTCTCATAATGGCGATGTCCAAGGAAAGGCTTTTCACATTTTGCACAAACAAAATGCTGAAACACAAAAGGTGAGAGCAGCCTTAATACAAATATTGCAATGGTTAAAGCCTACATTCTTTATGAAGTTAGAGGTTAGAGAACACCACAATCTAATGCAGCACCAAAGCACTCAAATATTTCAAGGTAAAAAGTATGTTGTCTTCAGAGTGAAGCTTGACACGGACCTTGGGGAGAGGCAGACATTAGGAAATCTTAGCCAGTCTTGTCTATGCACTGCCAACACCACTGTTCTCTACATAAAGAGTGAGAACAATTAAACAATCACTGAAGTTTTCCAATCTGTCAGTTGTTCCCTGCCTTTTATAAAGATAACCCAACAATATCTCATCAACCATATAGGCAGCCAAACAATTACCTGGTTCTGCTCATACTGCAAGGTTCATATGGCAGATGTGTAACTTCTGTCTGACACGCCCTCTGATAAACAGCACTAATGCAAGTCTAGAGAGCTTTAAGAGGGTGGCAGATTTTATTGCAACTTCCATATGGAAGGTTGTTTTTTTATGTAATACTTCAAGTCATGAGGGCAGTGAGTACAAATCATAATTGATTAAATTTTTTTTTTTTTTTAAAACAACAAACCCAGAAAGCACACAACCAATTCAACAAGCATTTCTTTTTCATACCTCCACATGCCACTGCTTTCCCATGGCATTAACCACACGGCCTTCAATTGGTCTTCTGCATGCTCCACAGATAGGCACACCCATTTTGTCATGGCAGGGTAGGCAGTACAGCTCGCCTTTCAGCTCACGGGCATCAGATGTGAGCTCCTTACTGCAGACAAACATTTTAACACAAATATAATCAAATGTAGAACAAGTCAAGTCTGGATTTACTGTTTTTCTAAATTGCTTTTTAAGCCTAACAAGTTTTAAACTGTTCCCTAGTAGACTTCTGTGCCACACACAGATATTAATGTGCTAAAACAAAAATTGCAATTAACAATAAAGGGAATGCTTGGGGCAAAAAAAACATAATGGTGGTTATTCACAAAACGTGAGGAAAGTGAAATTACGTTCCATATTGAATTGCATTTAGCAATAATGTTAATTCCACTAGTGCGAGATGCAAGAGAGTCCCTTGAGGGAGAATGCCATGATTTTTATACTTGCCATCAAATCCTTTTCTTCAACTTCACTGAGGGACACAGTAATCACTGACATTTGGGTTAAACTGCTACCTACGGGAGGATTTGGACACTGGCAAACAGAACCATGACCAGCCTGGCATAACCAGCTGGCTCAGTTTTGTAACAAAGCAGTGATGAAAGTTAGACCACAAAAACACAGAGGTGTAGCTTATGCCCTTTGTCTCTCAATTAACAGATTTTGCAGCAAGTACAAAAAGCAGTTTTCTTTTTTGTTCATTGTGGGACACAGGATTCAAATACATTTGCGACGTCCAAAAGAAGTACAACTAAAGAGGTTGGGAACACCACAATTGAAACACTAACAAGCCCATATAAAAACAAACTGGGCACCGCTTGCAGCTTGAAGGACCATACATTCAGACCTGGTTTACACTTCGTGTATTGTCGCAGCTGATTCAGTGCGATAAAAAGCTTCACCAAAAACTTCCCATTCATTCTTATGGCCCTTGTGCACACCTGAGCGTTTTGTGCTGCAAAAAGCAAAACACCCGTCGCTGGTAAAAGTACATAAGCTTCTTTGGGGCACAGATCAGCTCGTTTTGGCCCCAAAGACTTAATAGGAAACACTTGAAAACCCGCGTTGCAATTAGTTTTGCGCATTTTGTCCTTTTACTTTAACGTGTAAAGATCTGCTTGTAAAAATGTGTGTATTTAATATATGCATGTAAAAACGTGCGGTTTTATGCGCGAAAACTGTCGCTTAGGTGTGAATCAGGCCTCAAAGATGCCATAAGAGGCTTGAACATACACCTTGTAAAAAAAAAAAAAAAAACAGAATGTGTGAACAGGAGACCGAGTGAAAGTGTTGCAAATCTGGGAAACTGTTGTCGGATGCCACAAATCCCAGGAAGCACTCATAGATCTAGTAGAGTGTACTTGACAGGAAAAGGTGAAGCACGATCCTTAAAATCATAAGTTTGAATGAGTATTTACCTAAGCTGCTGAGGATTGGTTGTGAGAAGGTGCCAAGAAGCTTGTTCTCTTTTATAGGGACCATCAAGGATGACAAAGAGGGAGTCACGCACAACTCAAACTACATACAAAGGGTCGTCTCCTGATGTACTGGGGCTGGACAAAGCGTCAGAAGTACAATATCCTGGTTAGTGTGAAAGGCCAAAACCACCTTGGGAAGGAAGTCTTAACACCACCATGTCCTTTTGCAATGCCACAAAGGGTTCTTTATTAGGATACGACTGGCAGTTCCAACACACACTTTGCAGAGGTGAAGGCAATAAAGAAAAACTGAGTAAGAATGGAAAGTGGAATATCCGTAATGGGTTTAAAAGGTTTTTTTTGAACTGCCAAAAGAACCAAATTTATATCCCATGGAGAAACAAGTGGGCGCACAGGGGGAACCACATGACAAAAAAACTTTATAAAAGGTTATATTCAAAGAATGAGTGGGTAACGGTCTTTTAGAACAAGATCTCAAGTACTTAGGCCAGTTGTTGGTCCAGGCCTGATTGAAAAAGGCCAGGATTTGTCCCACAAAACATCTTCAAGGATGAAAGCTTCTTTCTTTGCACCAAGAAAAGTATGCCAAAGTATGTGCTATGGTAGATGTTGTGAGAAGTGGAACTTGGCTTTTAGTAACATGGGGATCACTAAGTGAAAGAGGCCCCTGCAAGACCTATGCTAAATAGCCATGCTGTTAAAGCCAGCGATTGAAGCAGAATAGTGGATGGTCCTTGGGATACAAGATCTGGTGGATCTGGAAGAGCTAGGGATCTGATCAGGATGGAGTAGCACATCTGTCTGGGCCAGTCCAGAGCTAGATGCTTAACGAGAATGCCCTCCATCTTGATCCTGCAGAGCAAACGAAGAAAAGAAAAAAAAAGGCGTAGATCATACTGAACTGATCCCATGGAGCCACTAGAACATCCACCAGAAGATCTTTTACCTTGAGATAAACCTTTTCAGTTTGTTGTTAAATCTGGGGGCCAGGTAGTCCACATCTGTTGTTTCCCTCCTGTGACATAGGTTCTGGAAAACGTCCAGGTGTATGGACCACTCTTCTGTACCCAGATGCTTCCAGGCTGAGGAAGTCTGACTGCCAATTGTCCACCCCTAGATGTGAATGGCGGACAAGCCTGGAACATAAAGTTCTGCCCAGAATGTTAAGTGGGAGTGGAGATCCTTATCCACTTCTATTCTAGATTAAAAAAGTGAATGCAAGCTAGGAAGAAGCTCCTGCCTTTGCTATATTCACATGGTCAGGTACAGTGTTTTTCTAACACCACACCTAGGAATCCTTTACCATGTGAAATACTCTATGCAAGAAAGGTCTACAGCAATGTTGTGAAACTGGAAGCTGTGAAATGACGCAACCAGTGCAGTAAGCCTGAGGACACTGCTTAGGGATGCCACATTTAATGCAATGGGCAATCAATTTAGACTCCCAGCTCTGTTTGGACCTCTAGTGAAAACACAATAAAGACTTCCGGTTCCGGCGCCCGATGCTCTAGTCAGAGGACACAGGAGCTCCGTCCCGTCGCCTCTCTCCTACCTCCTCAAACAGGCTGTTAAGGTTAATATATGGGTGTTTAAGTTGATGCAATTTCTCAGATTTCATGTTTTTCAGAAATCTGCTTAATCTTTATTAAAGACATAGGTATCTATAAACACAGAGTGCCACATTATCAGCAATCATTAGGGCATATTGGTCATCTAGAATGTTCAGTAAATATTGGCGCAGAGACAAAAGACTTTGTAATGGCCTTTGCTTATTGAATTACTTACCCACAGTTGGCGCAGTTGAAGTGGTCTGGGTGATATGGATCATTCTTGAATATTAGAGGCTGCTCTTCAATAATGGCATGACACTTTTGGCAAATATACTTCCCCAGTCCCCTGGCCTTCTCTCGATTGTGACATGGGCGACACAGGTGTCTAGAAGAATCATTTCAGGTTAAATAGTAAGACAAACTATACTTTAGAAATTTGAAAAAAAAACAAAAACTACATTTTCAACAAAAATGTCAGACTCAAAGCACTAAACACACTGCATCACCATGATAACCAAGCAGCTAGCTAACAGATTAGTAATGGCAGCCTACACATTTCCTCAGTGCAGATTACCTTTTAACCCCTTCGTGACGGGAGACGTACACTGTACGTCCAGCCACAAAGGGACTAGATTAATAAATTGCAACAGCACAAAAGCAATAAATCATATTTTTACATCTCAATTTAGAAATCAATAAAGCAGCAATTTTCCAAATGCCAGTATATCCCAGTACCATTATGCTGACGTGCAAACCAGTGTGACTCATATCCATTCACTGTGCAAATACACAGTCCCACACAGCCAGCGACACCAATGTTGTCAATTTAAACCCACATGCTGAACTGTTTATTGCTAGTCTCCTTTGATAGACAAGCATGGAAATTGGGTGGCATTTATTTGGGGGGGGAATACAGTATGCAGTTATTACTAGATATTTTATTTAGCATAAGGGTCATATTTGAGGCTACTGGAGCTCACCAGATCTCGAGCACAAGAAAAACCATTATACTTTAAACATTAGGTTACATCCAACAAGAAACATTCTCTGACTATCCATAGAATACCATCACCCACCTGCCTGCATTCTTCACAAATCCAATGTCTGCCAGGACTTGCTGACAGAGGTCACAGCGGAAACATTCAGGGTGCCAGCTGTTATTCATTGCTTTGATAACACGGCCGATAATGAATTCACCTGAAAATAGATAACATTTTAGGATTAAGCCAACACATGTTGGGCATAAGCTAACACAAATATTCATTGGTCTATACTTTACAAATATGATCTGTGTAACAAAAGACGTATGATTTTACAGTATGGGACTATATGCCAATCTATATGACAGTAATAACTACATGTAAAAACAAAAGAGCCTTAGAAATACTTAATACTGTTAACACTAACAGTATAGTAGATATTGTAAACCCTGCACTACAGAACTTGGCTCTTGCATTGGAATAAAACCAGGGCAGCACCTTCTTGGGTTTCTCATTGTTTCCTTATAGTTGCTGAATTTGCCATGATGTTTTTAAATGTGCTCTCACATTTAAACGGCAAAGAAAAATTGGCTTGTGCACAAAGTACCTCTCACTTTGTCCTAAGGGGGCATTAGGCTGTAGCAAATGGTTCAATGCCATATATAAAAAAGTTAAACAAATGAATAATTCTGCCGACAAAACTAAAAGGCCATTACCATCTAAAAAAACTGGCATTCCAGTTTTGCATGGTCAATGCCGAGTCCGATCATATGGATTTTTTTCCCCCATCTCTTGGTAATGAAATCTCTCTTTCAACTGCCATGACTAGTGAAAAGCCATGTGATGGTTTCAAACTCCCTGGATAATTGTACACGAGCAAATAGGGTATTTTAGAAGCATGGTAAGAGAGGAGATGCAAATTGCAGCCGGGTAGTCTTAGTACAGAAAGCTCAGTGAGATGCACCAGCGTCAACCACAAAATGTGAGCAGAGTTGACAACCTAACCCCCTACACTCTCCTCATCAGACTACTTGACAGCAGAGCTCTTCGTCAGTCCCCACACAGTAATCACCATGCTTGCCCGTCACATATTACCTTCCCATATTTATTTGGCATGGACATTACACTGCACAGAGTAAGAACTGTTAGTTTCAGCCTCTACCCCCGAAAGGAACCCTCAATCTTTTTTCCCTACAACTACCATACTCAAGGTCATTTTGGTGGAGGGCCAATACCTAACAGCATGTTTTTGGATTGTGGGTGGAAACTGGAGCAACTTGAGGAAACCTACACATTCTGCATGCCAACTCCATGCAGAGTGTCCCAGGTTGGATGTAAACACCCACATCAGGCTAGTGTTATTTTTTAAATCAGAACCCCCTAAAAGAAGGGTTAACATTTCATATTACATTAGGAACTCAGAGTCAGATTTCGATCTACAGAAAACCCGAGCAGGGACATAAATATTCCTACTTACCACACTGATGACAGCAGGGGGCGAAAAGCATTTGGAAGTCATGTTCACAGTACTTTCTTCCCTCAAACTGAAGAAACAAATAAATCAGCAACGCAAAAGGTACAGCTATGTAAACATGTAGGGAATATTTAGCAGGTAGACATTGGTCCTTGTAACTGACTGTAATAGCACATTTCATGAATGGCATGTTATACAGAGAGTTGCTGGTTCTTTCAGCTCTAGCTCTATGTCAGACTGTGCATAAAGCATCTTTGCTTAATGAAAGCCAAGATAAAACCATAGACAAGATAACCATGGGTTTGCTTCATTAAACTGAGATACTGCATACTAAACGTGACATATGAAGCATATCATATATAATACAGCAGGATATGTCAAAGAGAGAAACATTTCATGCGTTAATGCCAGGGATTTACCAGCTGATTCACAAAGGCTTTTTACTAGCTGTAAAATATCATGTAAGGAATTCAGATCATTTAGCTTTAGCACTTGACACAGATTGCTGCACCATGTGTCAACTCACAGAAGCACTGCTGCGCTTACATTTTTATGCTTTTTTAAAATTGCATCTATTCTCCTGTATAGGGTTTTCCAATGGTTTTAAAAATGTGCATTTAAACCCAAGAAAACAAAATTACATCCATTGTGGATTACCATTCCATACCAGTAATGGAGTTACCTGTTCTTATATGTGATGGCTGCATTATTTTTTTATTTTCCCCACACATTTCCTATCCTAGGGAACTCACTTACTGTAATGTATCTATGAAGAGGAACTGCTCTCATGCTAGGACAGGAAGTGTGTTAGGAGTACAGAATATCACCCCTTTCCATATCTTCATAACATGGAGGAAGGTGGTTCTCGAGTCCACAGAACTGAACAGCACTGATGACACTGCTTGGGATTTCAAAGACGCTCACCAGAATTCGTAAAGAGCATCTACGACACTCTTTAGAATTCTGTTGTGGCACCCCCCCCCCACTGCCTGCTGTCAATCTGAGCAGAGTGGACCTGATGGGAAAACTGTTCTCACATTTCCCCATCAGGCTCTTCCTACTCAATGTCACCGACTGTGGGTGCCACTGGTTGTTAAGGAAGCTGTTGACAAGTGATGCTAACTGATGGGGAAATCTGAGAACAGAGTTCCCTATTAGGTGCGCTCTGCTGCCGATTGACAGTAAGCAGCGGGTGCTACAGCCAACCTGCTATTGGCTACGGCACCCACGCACTGCCTGCTGCCACTCAACAGCAGAGTGGACCTGCTGGGGAAGTGGGCTCAAAGTATCAATTACAAAGTTCCCCAGTAGGCTCTGCCCACTTAATGCAAGACAAATGTGAACAAGGGTAATGCTGGCTGACATTATCAAAATAAGACTATTTGAGTAATGATATCAGCATCTCCGGCCCCTTTGTTTAGATTCAGCGGCAGTTGAATGGAATAGAGTACCCATGCTTGCTAGGACTCTGGCAGCCCACTGTCCTAGCGACCAAAGAATAGGAAGCTTGTCAGATTCATGACAACTTCCCAGTGCATATTTTTTCCTACCTATTTAGATCACTGGCGTCTCCCTGTACGCCAGATCAGAGTTAGTCTTAATTATTTTTGAATCTGTTGCAGTCATGGGGACAGGTTCTTAAAGTGGCAGTATTAACAACTTGGGTTTTGTGCATGATGTCATCTCACTACAGCAACTAGGAAGTATCTGGTAACCACTATTGTGAGTGTTGTTTTTGCATAGGCTTTATAGCTCACTCACATTAAAAACAGTGCACAAAGAGTGCACTGTTTTTAATGTGAGTGAGCATTTTTAAGTTAGCTTTAATAAAATAATTTTAAAAGATGGAGAGCGCTATCGTTGTGTTATATGTTCTTTTCAGAGAATGGCACTGCACAATATGGATTGAATCATCACTTCAGGAGTCCCCCACAGGAGAGGAAGCACAAATCTGATTCCAGGTCATTCGTTAGGACAAACCAAGTTACAAGAAGAAGCGCACTGCACAAATTCCCCTTTGAAGGGACACAAGCGCTTTCTGACCTTCATTTAATATTGGGTCTAACCACTATGTGAGAAGCAAAAAAGGTGGAGGTTTTGGATATCCCCACTTTATAAAATATTTATATTTCAACGCACTGATATTTGGAATACAATTGCACAGTACTAAATATTTGTTGGATCACCTTTGCAATGTTATCAAGCTTTAGTTGACTGGCTACTATATGTACTTTTGGAATAGAGTGTACAGCACTATTGTATTCGTTGATGTTAATAGGTTTTCTGTTGTTTAATTGTTCAATTAAAATGACTATCATTGGTGATAGTGCTACACTGTACGTTTTTTTTTTTTGGGTTTGTTTATGATCACACATTTCAGCTATTGGCAGCTCCACAATATAGATAAAGAATCAACAGCACAGACGTTTTCGGACACCATTTGGTATTGGGAACTATCTGAATCTGTTGTAAGTGTTGGCAAAGCTACTGAAACAGGCAACAAGGCTTTTTTTATTTGGCACAGGGCCTTTGAAAAAGGTCTAGAAGGCCAGAAAAAAGTTAAAGATTTAATGAATCCCCCCTCCCCCCCAGTGTTGACAGCTAAACATTAGGAGCTCACTGGTTTTGTGCCAGTATCAACATGTATTGCAGCATTTCTAGTGCAACAAAAATGGGGAAAGGTGCATATATTGGGGAAATGTATGGAACCTGTTTTTGGTAAATGTAACATTCAGTGCTTTTATACTTATTACAATAAACTGTACAGAATTATTAACAGAGCATCATCTGCCGACACACAAACATGAAAGAGTTACACTGACACTTTCTGCCTCAGTGTTTTAACTGTTGTCCATGTCTTCCTGGCCTAATTACCCCCCTTTTCTGTCCGTTTCCCCAATAATGTTACAGCCAGTGATAACCACAATAGACCGTATCAGCCTCCCCACTTTATTGTATACTTAAAAAAACAAAGTTTTGGCTGGAGTTGTGCTTAAACTATTTGTGCAAGGTTTCATTAATGGTTCTCTATGGCTGGAGTAGTAGAACCATATTCCTGAACACCAATACATCTTAAAAAAGTCATGTCACATGCAGATGCTACACTAATGTAAGGGTCTATTAATACAAAATAAACCAAGGCAACTGGATTTGCTGTATTTTTCTTGAAGACATTTTACTGGTCATTCAACCAGCTTTCTCCAATGGAGAAAGCTGGATGGATGACCAGTGAAACATCTCCAAGAATAAAAATATACAGCAAGTCCAGTTGCCTTGATATATTTTTTACTGATGTACCATGACCTGGATGAATAAGAACCTTCACAGGCATAATGTAAGGGTCGGCTCCTTCTAATGTTCCAACCCCATTCTAATGATAGGTTGTAGCTGGTGCGGAATGCAGTTTCAGTGTGACAAGCATGGCTCATTTGTTGTGTTCTATATACTAACAGAGTAGGCCAGCTAATCCATACATGTACCCCAGCGTGAACACAGGCCAGGCACGCCAGTGCAGAAGACACTTACCTCATAGAAGAGTCCCTCTGGAAATTGCTGGAAGCACTGAGCACACACAAAGCACTGCTCATGGTACAGCTCTCCATTACTGTTCACAATCTTCTCAGCTGGAGCAAAGCCAGACCGGCAGCGCTCGCACATTGCATTAGCCAGAGCATTTGCCATGTTGCTAGAAGAAAAAACACAAACAGTGGGCATATATTAGGAAGTTCGCAAACACACCTAAGTCTCGTACTGGACATTTTTTTTTCTTTTTATTCATACTTTGTGTATAAGTGTATAGTGCGCCATCTGACAGCCTACTTCAAAAAGTGCCTACACACTTCTAGGGAAATATATGTACGGCTTACCACACTGAGCCCCACATACGCATGAAGCAACATGCACTTTCTTGGCCTCAAAAAATAAAAAGGGAGGAAATGTGGTGAATGTAATGCTCACACAGCTGCAACACAACCCAACCAAAACAACTATGAAACTGAATTCAAATTCACAAAGAGTTCGGTTGTTAATCCATGCAAAATCAATATACACTATATTGCCAAAAGTATTGGGACGCCTGCCTTTACACGCACATGAACTTTAATGGCATCCCAGTCTTCGTCTGTAGGGTTCAATATTGAGTTGGCCCACCCTTTGCCGCTATAACAGCTTCAACTCTTCTGGGAAGGCGTCCACAAGGTTTAGGAGTGTGTCTGATGTTGGATGAGAAGGCCTGGCTCGCAGTCTCCGCTCTAATTCATCCTAAAGGTGTTCTATAGGGTTGGTCAGGACTCTGTGCAGGCCAGTCAACTTCCTCCACCCCAAACTCGCTCATCCATGTCTTTATGGACCTTGCTTTGTGCACTGGTGCGCAGTCATGTTGGAACAAGGGGCCATCCCCAAACTGTTCACCACAAAGTTGGGAGCATGAAATTGTCCAAAATGTCTTGGTATGCTGATACCTTAAGAGTTCCCTTCACTGGATCTAAGGGGCCCAGCCCAACCCCTGAAAAACAACCCCACACCATAATCCCCCCTCCACCAAACTTTACACTTGGCACAATGCAGTCAGGCAAGTACCTTTCTCCTGGCAACTGCCAAACCCAGACACGTCCATCAGATTGCCAGACAGAGAAGTGTGATTCGTCACTCTAGAGAACACGTCTCCACTTCTCGAGTCCAGTGGCGGCGTGCTTTACACCACGGCATCCCACGCTTTGCATTATGCTTGGTGATGTAAGGCTTGGATGCAGCTGCTCGGCCCTGGAAACCCATTCAATGAAGCTTTCTACACACTGTTCTTGTGCCAGTTTGAAGGCCACACGAAGTTTGGAGGTCTGTAGCTATTGACTCTGCAGACAGTTGGCAACTTTTTTCATTTTTTTTTTTAACGAAGGTTTAGCCTAAAAATTCAGAATTTTCTCCACAGGAAATTCAGTCAGACACCAGGGTGTCAGACTGTAATCAGCTGCCTCCCTCCCTCCTTGCCACCTACTGTAACATGATCAGTAGACACCAGCTCTGCCGGACAGAGCAGAGACACAGAAATGTCCATGCGTCTATGAAGCGGATAGCGAACAAAAAAAAAAAAGAAGTAGATTCCTGTTTTCATATACATCTGCATACGCCTGCTTCATGTACACTCTGTTTTTAAATACCTCTGAAAAAGGTGGAAATAGGCTTTAAAGTCTCCTCAAAAGGAAGACTGCATCTAATGATGTCGCAACAGATTGCTCATCATTGTAGTCACATACAAAAATGCACTGAAAATCTACACACACACACACACACACACACACACACACACACACACACACACACACAGCATTACTAGTGTGAACCTAGGCTTATACAGTGAAATGCTGCTTAATATGGGTAGAATAACAGACTGATGTAATTACAGTGTGTACATTCACATGAAATATAAAGAAAATCCCTGGTATGTTAAAAGGTGTATTTATCATACTTTTACTAGACTGTAAAAATAAGCATCAGTGACACGTAGTTAAGATATAAATAGGGCAAACAGTGTCTAACAAGCGAGCTGGCTGCAGCTGTCATTTCCTATTGTCAGAAACAAAGCAAACACCTTCTACATACAATAACACTGTGCCTCTGCCATAGAAAAAAATACAAAAATCAATGAAATGTTACCAATTTTACAACATCGGCAGGCACAGTGTTCTACACTGGCAGCTGTCATTACCATCCCCCCTCACATAAATAAATACATTACAATACGAGTCACAAGGAGTTACAATATGACAGGTGCTAGTGATGGCAATGGTAAAGAAGGCAGGAAAAATAAACATACAATGTTACAAAACGGAAGAGATGGCTTCACCTGGATAGTATTTGTTACAATGTAAGTTAATGGCACCTTTAAGGCCTCATTCACACAGGGTGTGCAGGCAGCTCATGTAAGTCTATAGAGATACAGGAGCTGTGCACCTTCACATGCTGCTTCCCACAGCTCCGAGTTTAAACACCTACACACATGGTGTACGGCCTTGGACACAGACAATGGATCATGGTCTGTGGGAATCTGTCAAAATTTGGATCGGCTTCTTCCCGAAGCTCCAGGCACATATAAAGAAAAAAAAAAATGCTGTCTATGGGGCAACACGCCCCATGTGAATGCAGCTTAAAATGTTAAGAGAACTATGAGGTGAGTGAATTTCACTCATCCCCATAGTTAGAGCCGACGTGTGACACAGACTGTCATATGTCGGCTCCATTGGTCTGGAAGTCCGTGAAAACATAATGTTGCTCGCTCACTTCCCGATCATCTCCCTGCAGAGAGCGGTGACTCAGTCACTGCTCCCTGCTGCGTTCACCCCCCTCCCCTATCTGATCCTCCAGCGCTGATTGGAGGGAGTGGGCAGAGCACACTGTCAATCAGCCAGCGGGGTGGAACTTGACAGTATTATAAGTATCCTTCCCGGGTGTGGCGCTCTCAGCACATAGCGGGTAATAGCTTGCTATATACTGAGTATTGGGTCACGGGAGGAGGTTAGTAGATGTCCTCTTGTGTACCTAAAGAGAACTAT